ATATACTTTTTTTCCTATATTTCACATTAAACTCATGAAAAATCAGTGAAAATAAATTCCAAGCAAAACGCCCAAAAAGCCTTTTCAGCGAAAATTAATTCCAGTGAAAATAAAGTATTCCACAGTAAAATGGTCATCATGCAGCCACATCTTTTGAGCCTCATTTGCATACAACTTGCTCATTGACCTCAGTAGAATGCCATTTGTGCAAATATATGCACAGACCAGATAAAAAAAAACACCTTGTTCATCAGAATTTTCCTTTGGGCACTGCGCAAATTTTTAGTTTTTTTTTTTTGTTTTTGTTTTTTGAAGGCAAAGAGAAAAAATGTTTTGCCAAAAAATTCAAACATTTATACCCATCTTGCATGTCCTTTAAATGATTTACAAATTTTACAAACTTCAGAGAAAATATTGCAAACATTGAAGCAGCTGATCTTCTGTGGTGAACATTGGCTATGAATGCAGTTGTGGATAATTTTTTTAGTGCCTGTGCAAATAAAAAAAAATGCAATCAGGCCTTACTGTCATACAATAACATTAACAAAATTAATATTCAAATTGAATTTGCCGGAGAAAATTGAGAAATTGTTCTCCGCCAAATTTGCTGACAGTAAGCTTGATCCTCTTTCAGATTTCTTGTAAAGCAAAAAGTGTTTCTTACATGTATTGTGTGCAATCCACAGTCAATCAATTCAGTGCGTATGTTAAATATCATATAATAAACGCCCAAATGACAAGTCTCTTAATATACATAAAATAATATAAACAATAAGATGAAAGCTTCATCACATAAAATATATGTATGTGCATTTAGTAATGTTATTTAATCACTGACTGTGTTAATCTGCGAGGGTCTACATACAAATATGCGTACCGGTACAACTGAAGATCCTACTGACCAATAAAGCTGATAGCGAATATATTTTTTAATTAATTAAACATTGTAATTTCAGAGCTTGACTCGTAGCTTAGAATATTTAATCTGATGTTTATACTAAAACCTTGAATATTGATGTTAAACGAAACCAAGGCCTTCAGGCATATGTGTACAGGTATGCTGGCATGTATGAGACAATCATCGCGACCTTGAATAGCAAGGTAATTGTGTCAGTGCGTCCTTTCATAACATTTGCTGCACACAGTATTATTGTTCAATAACACATACTAAAAATTTGATGTTTTTGACAGCCTAACAAAAATGTTTAGATACAAACTGCTCTGTATATTCTGTCAATCTTAGATATTTATTAATGTTTGAGACTTATTTCATTTTAAGACAAGTCTTTTAACAATTTGTAATTTGTTATTTATTCAATAAAATCTAAAATGTTCTCTCTAGGTCCTTTAACCCATTATTACAAAATGGGCATAATTTCCTACAATTTTGAAAAAAAAAAGTTTACTTTTAACTTTAAAATCAACTTCTGTCATTTCTCACAAATTAAACACAAATATTAAATTATTAAGTTTATTCAAATGATAAAAAAAATGATGAACCATTTTGAAAAGATATAATAATTTATAAATCATAAAAACATAAAAATTGGTCATTATAATGCCATCATGCTTGAACTTGTAATGTTATCATATTGTTATACAATAAATATTGCAAATTATATCATTAATATGCAGATTAGGTACCATATTTGGGTATAAGAATTAGTGTTACACTGAGCACCTGTTTCTACTATTTACATGTAAACTAATAAATAAAGATCAGTTGTTATGCTAATGGTATGCAAATTAAGTCATATATCAGTATTTCAGTTTTGTGTACGACAGTGTGCATTTCAGTTTTGTGTACGACAGTGTGCATATGCATGAAATCCCAGTCTGTCATATATTCCAGTTTATTGCGTTGTCAACACAAATCATTTACGATAGAATGATGTTCGTAAATAAATTACATGAGGAAATGAAATAACTAAAAGTAATCTTGCTTTAATAACTCTCTTATATTAGTAATTTACCATAATTATTTAGTTACGAGTGTTTTGGATAAAATTACATTCATTTGTCATACTGCATCACGTTTGATATGGGTCCTGTGCATTTAAACTAAATCGTTTGTTTACATGAAATGTTAATGTACGCTGCGTGGTGACTATGGCGCTTTCGAAAGCATTGTAATGGCTGTTAATTTCAAATCTAGTGAAATTATTTTCTGTTTATATTTATTTTCATGAAATGTAATGTAAAATATAATATTACAATTATTCATCACAGCTTCACAGGAAATCATAAGACTACGCCCATTTCAGATTCCTGTGACTAAAAAGCGTAATCTTAAACCTATTTTCTCGTTTCCTCTTTTTATTCCTTGCATGTACTTTTTGTATTTTAATAGTTACATGTCAGGGAGGGCTGTCAGCAATCATATTTGTTGAGGTCGTGTAAGCTCAGTTCTATACATAAATAATGTAAAAACAATTACCTAATTGCCATGAATAAATCATAGGTGAAAACAAACTTGATAAGTTGTCACGGTTTCCACTGGTGCAATAATCTGAAAAAAAAATCAATTTTCAATATCTATACATAAATGCCAAAAATGTTTTTTTTTTTATTTTTTTAATTTGTTTATGCTGACATTATGACTTTTCTTGTAGTGTTTTGCACATTTTTATGTATTTTGTATAATTTTGTTGTAAATTTTGAACATATTTTCCCCATTAGCTTCATGTTTTGTTCAACGTTTTTGAAAAAATTTAGAATTAATTTTGTGAAAGTTATATTTTACAAAAGTTATTCAGGCGTTCGTACAGTTACTGTATAATTATTTTAGATGGAACTAATTTTCTCAAATGAATTTTTTGGCATTTTGTTAGGAGTTTATTTCCACTGAAAATTCCAAACGAAAATTAAAATATTTTACAGTAATATTGAATGCTTTACCTATCTGCTTTTACAATGTTACCACTATACGAGTATATGTGCATCTACAGGGGTCGAAATACTCTGGTGCACACTGCACTATGCACATAGATTATTAGCTAGTGCAAGTAAACTCAAAATATAATGTGCACACTGTGCATGTAGAAATTAACACAACAATTTCTAATTATATTCACTAAGCCTAAATTAAGTTCAACCAACATTGTAGGACAACTAAAAAAAAGCAAATTCTTTCGTGATCGCATCAATCGAGAACCCGTCAATTTTATTTAAACTTTAAAAGTGGTGCATTTAACAACAAGTTAGTGCAGGTAAATTTCAAATTCAACATGCACACTGTGCATGGAGGGAAAAAATTCTATTTCAATCCCTGATCTAAAAGTGGAACAAATATTGTGGATCTCTCTGCATGATTTCTCCTAGCTTGACCTTGACTGTCTATGGTCTAGTTTTCTAGGCTTTGTTCCGTGTACAGATGCTTCCTTTCATCACAGTCTCTCTATATCTATAGAGGGACTGTGCTTTCATCTATGATTTACTAGTTTGTGGTCCATATAACAAATACACAGTGTATTATAAGCCACCAGTCAACCATCTCACTTTTTCGGGACAAGTATTTTATTGTGTTAAGTATTGTAATATTTCCCTTCACTTGTACCTGTGTCTTGTTTTGATGGAATTCTTTGTATAATAGAAGCGGTTCATCACCTGTCAGTGTCAAGGTCGCATGTGGACAGTGTATTGAATGCAAATTTTTTTTATAATTAATTAAGGTATCTTGAATGCACAGCACGTCTGTTCGATTTAGCGCTGAACACCTGACTTTATTTGTTGTTTAACGAAATGAAATACTTCTTTTGCTAGTTTGCAAAAAATGTACGAAAGATAAAAAAATGGCTATAATACAAGGGAATTGCAAGGTAAATGTATGTCTGCCAAAAGTCTATGTAATTTGTTTTAGTTAATGGAATTTGACATAAACATTATCATATATATTTTCAAAATTTGTTGTGGATTTTTTTTCCAATGATGCAATACCAGTGTAAGACAGTCCCAAAGTTACATGTGTGTCCAAACTCGAAATCTTTGGAATTACCGGTACTACACGCAAATCGGCAGAAAAAAACTTGTTGAATTTACCGTAAACCTAA